GTGTGTGTGTGTGTGTGTGTGTGTGTGTGTGTGTGTGTTATACGTGCATATGCGCGAAAAGCCTGCGTTTACTGTAATGTAAGTGTACTTCTCGGTATGCGTATGTGTGCGTAACACGTAACCATGGATCTATGTGCTTGCGCGTACACAACGCGGTAATTCGCGCTCGTCGAGGCGCGATGGACTCCAAAACTGAAAATGGAGCGGTCCTCCTCGTACGAGCCCCTCTCGCTTCCATCACTTATCGTACAGCGCCGCTTTTCTATTTTTTCTATTCCTCTCTATTTCTTTTTTCTTTTTTTTTTTTTAGATCGATTGGCCTGCGAGCTTTTGCCTGAAACGCTTTCACAAAGCTTTCCTCTTGTTCTTTGTTTTTTACGCTACGATTTGCGTGTGATAGAGATGCCTGCGCACACCTGCTCGCATTCCTCTCGGAAATGTTTCACCGACAACGAGACGCGCGTACCCGCTCGAATTGCTCGATTCACACCTGAATCCGCGGAAGATTTGCGTGCCGTCGAGATAAGCATGCAAAATATTTTCACGTACAGTTAAACAACGAACAGATACAGCTTACACCTAAACGTTTCGGTATTTCGCGAGACATATTAATTACATCCCACTAATAAAGCAGACTTTGTTTCCAAACGTAATAATCATAAATATCTTCTAATTTCCTTTTAAGGAAAAAAAAATAAATACTTCTCGATTGTATATCGTATTATAATAATTTATAATAGTTGATAATCTTTTTTTTTAATGTATTATAAAAAAAGTGTAAATATGTATTATAAAAAAATAATTTGCACTGAACAATATAAAATGAAGTTAAAAATGAAGAGTAAAAATGGATGAAAAATAGAAATTTAATGAGCTAAAAGAATCAGAATTTGGAGAATTGTATTCGTGTAGAAGTTGCTGATTAATTAATCATACTCGAAGATTTGTTAGCGCGACAATTATACGTCACAATGTAACCGCAGTGCGCCTGAAGAGTTGCCAGAAACGCGAATGATGATAACTTCTGTTTTATATGGCATCTCCACGAGATATTTCAAGGTCTCTCATATTTTTCGACACATTTGTGTTTAAACGGCGAAATAAATTATTTACTATTATATTCATATATCATATTTTAAAACTTCAAATGTTACACGTGCTTTTAACAATGTAATGAATTAAATATAAACTATCATTTATCCTTTATAATTATTTCCGATAAAATCGTATTAGAATTGTTCGCGATTTATCACTTGCAACTTTAATTAATTGTCAAAAAAAATGAACGATATATTTTCGAAAATAAATCGAAAAATGCGACGGAATGAGCCAGGCAATATGCCACGCGCCTTAAATTCTTCATAACGACACGATATGAATGACAGGAAAAATCTTCTTGTATGCGCGCACACGTTGTCGAAGAAGGTGACAATTATCACCTCGGGTCGAACTCGCTCTTAGCGAGCGAGGGTAGCCATGACATCTTATTGGAGTTGTAAAATTCCGAATTTTAGTACTCTGAATCTTTTTCACAATTTTTCACACATTAATAGTCATCAAAATTTTACTAATAATCATCGTAAAATGTTAATTGACAATTACTGATAATACACTCGAGTCAATAGCAAAAAAAAATTAAAAATTTGATGATAATCTCTGTTAAATATAAAAAAAAACAATTGAATGCTATATATTTTTCACGACAAACTGAATTTTTTATATTTTTAATTGCACATAGAGACAAAATTATTAGATTCAAAAGATTTATTTCAGAACTAGTGGGAAGTTTCCGCATTATTCTATTCTATATCGTCTCAGATCACGCTTCGTGCTTAGGGAAAAGGAGAAGTACCCATAAGTATTAAATTAAATATTCACATTGTCAGCAACTTTTGATAAAAGCTGTACAAAAATGATCAACGAAAATTTTCAAAATGCTATACTATCCACCACACAGCATCGTCCTCAAATAGCGCGCGGTGCATGAATTTTATGGCAATTTTCGTGGCATGTCTGTACGTAGTGATTTCGTCGCAAAATATCTGTTTTAGATGTTTATATATGTAGTCATTATATACATACACGGTCTCTACACCTTATCTCGTTCGCGTGTACACACGAATTATACTCGCGTCGCGAAACTCCTGTCCTGTGATCGACCCCACGTCGGCAGGAATCTCGATGCTCACGAGGCGTGCAGGTCACGCGTATGTTCTCGCGTAAGATTACGAGTCATAATCGCGCCTGGCATCGTAATTATAAACTATTAACCCACCGTGGTAGATGTACGCTATTACGGAAGAGCTATCTAGATTTTTTTATGTACCTCCGCAATATAAAGACTAATTAGAAACATTGTGATAGTGAAATGGATATGATATTACAGAATTCTGTAATAAATTACATAATATAGCACGTGTGTTATCAAAAGTTATTACAACACATAATGATTAACACGCGAAAATATTACAAATTAGAAAATAATTATAAATTATTATTTATTTTTAAATTGTTGAAAAAATTTCTGCATACCCGCGCTTTAAGTCAGTTTACATCTGTATTTATATTATTTAATGATGAGGCAATAAATCCTGCGACTTTCTTTGTACACTTTACGCTTAGAAATCAATCTTTTTTAAAGTCTTCAATCAATTATAATTTAGTGACACTTATAAATTTTGTTGTAAATTAATCCGTTAATATCATAAGACAACAAAATCTCGTAGACATCAAGAAAGTTTTAAACATATTCACTTCAGAATTTCTTGCTATAATAGCGAGACGATTAAAAAACTTCCACCTTGGATAATAAATCTGCTCATCTATTTCACTCAAACGCGCTCAACTCTCTTTCTCTTCTCAGTTTAGTAGTTAAACTTCCTCAACCATACGAATAAACGTTTCAGCGAAATCGGCAGTGGAGTAATTTAGAAAGCTCGTGACATTACCAACGAGTTTATATCGGCGCTGTAACATATTATTTGCATGATGGCTGTGGAATTATTGTCTTCAACTCCACATGGAAGCAATTTCTTGATATGGAAATGCCTCCCGTTATTATTTTAATCGTGACTAAGAAACTTTAGATTTTATCTCTTTTATTATTATATTGTGAAGTTTCTGTAATATCACGTAAAGTTAAATTAAAAGTTTCTGTAATATCACGTAAATGTAAAGTTCTACGAACGAATTATTAAAAAATTTCTAATTTAAATTTCCGATTAAATATTCTTAATTCGTATACGTGATTTTTATCCGTTTTAAATTAAATTTCTTTGTCGCACGTTTGTCGGTACGTTGTTACATGCCAGCTAGTAATAATTATCGCCATATATCGCGAGTCACTTGTTAGCAAAATTAAATTTACTAAATATTTGTTCGATTTCTGCATTTAATATAATGAGGATTCGGTAATGGATTCGTGCGCGATCGTCAATCACGCTTACTCGAAATCACTTTCGTCCGAGTTGCTCTCACACGTCGCTCAAGCCAGGATAAACGCTCTTGCGAGCGTGAGACCCAATGATGGAGCGCTCTACAAAGCTCTCGAAGTTGCCGTCGCAACTTCGGACTTTATAGCCGCGCCGCACCGAATTAGTCTCGCCTCGTTTCACAGCGTGGGGTCAAATAGAAACACCGAAGGAGGTCTGGATAGAGGGTCACGTAAGCGTTAAGTGGCCGATTCCACGTATTACGATAATCGCGACGAGCCGCCTTGATAAGCCTTCGAAGATGCCTGTCGACTTTCGCTATCCCGAACACGTTTCCTCTCCCGTAACTCTTCCCGCACGAGTATCTCTTCCGATCGACACGTTACATTAAAAACGACGGCCGCGTCGTAAACGCGCCGCCGTATTGTACCACGATCGTTATTTACCTCGCATAATATTGCGCGATCGTGGATATTGCGTTTCTTCATGCAGAAACGCAAATATTCTTTTCAATTTCCTCAAACTTTACGCGCTCGGACTTATGAGAAAAACGAGGACTAACGTAGCATTTCGAATTGCCTTTATATTCTCTGTTCAAAAAAATCTATTACTAAAAATGTTTTTTAATATTTCTCTCCAATGTCTAATTCGTAAGCCATTATAAATTACCATTTCTGTAATATTTTTAAATGACATCTATCTTAAAACGTTAAATTAATAATATTAAATAAGATTTTTTAATACTTTATATTTTTATCTGTATAGTATTATTATATCTATTGTATTATTAAATTTATTTATATAATTTTCACGTTGTCTTTTCTATTCTTAGAATAATATATATGATTAAAAAAATGCAGTAATGATAATAACTCAGAAAATTACTTTTCCACGTCAGTTTTTTAGAGAAACGATAAAAGATATAATACGTGTGATGAGATATGAAAAGGCTTATACGTGAATCCTCGTATTTCTCAAATGCGCTTGTGAACACAAACAACTACCAGTCTAATAAGTCACCTGTGTCGTACCAGGACTTCACGTTGGATTTTTACTTCCGACAATTCTGGACGGACCCGCGACTCGCGTTCAAGCAGCGAACGGGTGTCGAAACGCTCAGCGTCGGTTCAGAATTCATCAAGAACATTTGGGTCCCCGACACCTTCTTTGTCAACGAGAAGCAGTCGTACTTTCACATCGCTACCACCAGCAACGAGTTCATTCGCATTCACCATTCGGGAAGCATCACGCGTAGCATACGGTGAGTAAAGTATTTGTACTTGCAGCTTCCATAATTATAAGTATTTATATTCTTGATTACAATGATAATTTTCAAGCATTAGATTATTTCACGAATCCAAGTTTAAAAGTTAAATAAATTCTTTAAACAAATCCCTTTTTCTGTTGTAACGACCAGATTTAAACGGAAAATTTAGACGGAAATAATTGAAAGGAAAGAGAAAATATATATAATATGCTACGTTGGGCGAAATAATAGATAAGATTAAAAGGTCCTCCCTTTTAACCACATTAAGCTAATTAAGTAGATTTAATCCTAAATTGTTACTTTCGCTGTCCGGGAGAAGACGATCGTGGTATTTTCTGCCGCGACTGTAAATCGAGCCCGTTGTCCTCCATCACCATAGAACATTCGTGGCACTTCTGGGACCAATTGTGCTCGGCACGACAAATTTGTTCCCTATAGCGGCCTCCACCCCTTCTTGCTTCTGACACAGCTCGTATCATTCCTCGTATCTGTCCCCCTCTCGAGCGCCCAGGAGTGTTCTGGTATTAACGCGCCGGCTATATTCAGACGATCCATGCATACCTAACTTGCACTCCCTCGCGCAATATCGTTCCATTATATTACATCCCCGACTTCCGGATCGGAACTGCCGAATCGAGCCGCTCGCTGTCGGGAAACGAAGGAAGAATATCGATGAAGCAGCGAGCGCACGCTCATTTACGTGAATAATTCTTCACCTGCTTCAGCGTAAGTTATCGATCACTGTCTGCATATATACGAATCATGCGAATACGTACGCCCCACGGTGTGTGATGTGTGTGCGTATGTACACTGTATTTCGTATAATACGTCTCGTATCTCGAAGACGAGAATAGACACGTATTAACGGTACGTCAAATCGATATGGATTGGTTCTTACACGTTAATCCTAACGTGACTCGGGCGTAATGAGGCTACGAATTAATTCCCGCACATTGATTCGACGTGCACTCGGGGGTGCAAATGGATTGGCTGCGAAGCCCCGCATTCGTATATCATAAAGCATTTTCGTCGAGAAACGATCGTTAAACGGACTTTACTTGAATGTGTTTCAGCTTAACGATTACAGCGTCGTGTCCCATGAACTTGCAGTATTTCCCGATGGACCGGCAGTTGTGCCATATCGAGATCGAGAGCTGTAAGTACGCAACACGCGCGTGTGTATATATATACACGTATATACTTATTACATTTATATAAATATGCATAGAAATGAACGAAATACAATCTCACGGAATTCGACATCCTCGCCTACTTCTTGACTACTTGACATACTAACATATACATATTCTTACTCAAATTATAACGGAAGTCAGAGAGACTTTCCCGTGCACTTCAATAATATGTTACTTCTCAGAATGGCAATCGACTCGCCGTATCTTTCTGGCGTCAATCATCGAGTGCGTGCACATTATTTTAAAAGAAAAACATTGTTGTCAAAAGTTTCTAAGTACAGAACCAAATACAATTGCACAATACGTGATACTTTAAGATAGTAGAATATTTCTCACGGGAAGAAACTGAATATTAATTCGTAATATCGTTAAACATAGCTATCAATATTTAATAAAACTAAAATAATTAAAATAAAATTTAAAAAACTAATTAAATAAATACGTTTAATGAAAATAAAATTGATATTTTTGAAAAACTATCAATCGCGTCATTGAACAAGTCTGCGGTATCACGTTCACCTTAGTGTCGCGATTAGCCGTATATCCGATTGGCCGTACACAGTTTCCATTGAAACGTGTTGTAAAACACGAACGATCAATTCCAGCATGTGAACTCGTGCATGTAACTCGAGGATAACGCCGAAAGCGATACGCAGAAAGTATCCTTATCGATAGCCGATTGTCGTTGATTCAATGCGATTCAACTGTACATCGCTTTGAACCCTTTTTTTCAGATAAAGACAGAAAGACGCTTCTACTGTGTATATTTGCGTCAAGCATTAAAAAAAAAAAGAAAAACTTCGTGCTCCCCCTTTATAATATACGCTCACACGACAGAGAATACTGTCAATTTTCACAAACCCGCCACCCTCCACTTTTCCTTCCTCTCTTCGTCCTCCCTCAACTGCCAACGGTCTCTGCCTTTCCTCTCGCCTTTTTCCCGACATCAGGTTTTACTTCCTTCTTTCTTTTCTATCTTCCCCTCTCTATCTGTCTATCTGTCTGTCTGTCCGTCACTCGCCACTTCACACGCTCACTCACACGATCAGTCAGCCACACAAGTGAGATTCACTTCCATTCACCTCGTTCACTCACTCGCTCACTCACCCGCTCTCGCTCACACACTGGTTGGGTTTCTTTTTTTATTCCATACACAGTGATTGTACGTATGTAACAACATGGACCTCGCAGAATCGGGTATTTATTGCAGCCTCTTTTTTTTCATCTTTCCCTCTCGCAAAGCGGAAGTAGATAAAAAAAAAACGAAAAAAAAAAAAGTAAACATCCGGTATTTCAAGTATCAAGCAAACGCAAATTCTTTCTTCTTGTACAAACGAAAAAAGAGATTGAGAGAAAGAGAGACCGGTTCTCTCTTCACGATAGACCTATAAATAGCCCGAAGAGAACCGAAGAGTATGAAATCTCATTTTCCTTTGTTCCACACAGTTGCGATTTAACAATAAAAGTCCGATTCTGCTACTGAGCACAGTGTGCGGTCAGTAAGCACCTTAAGAAGGAGCTTCGATGCGCCGTAACAACGGCCCCTGTATCGATGCGCGCACTGAATATACGCAGACTGAATCGTCGACGAGACACGACTCGATTAATCGAGTCGCTCCGTTAGGCTGTAAGCATAGAAATCGTAGGTTGACCAGGAGCTGTGACGCGCCGTGGGAGCATCCCAATGCTCCGCGCGAAAGCACATGTGAGAAGATCAACACGTTGTGTGCGTGAGTGCGCGTGAGATTGTGTGCGCGCGCGCGCGCGCGCGCGTGTGTGTGTGTGTGTGTGTGTGTGTGTCGACATGTGTATGTGATAGCGCTAACGTTTCGTCGTCACGAGTGTTGATTGTCGTCACTGCTGCAAATTGCACGATGTGTTAATGTTCAAAAGCGAACTTCGAATGTTCCCTTTTCATTCGCGAAATAATCGAAGTTTTTATTGACATCGCGTGCACAGAATGGCACATTAGTCAAATTGTTTAAATAAGTCAATATAATATGTTTATTTCAAATCACAGTTATAATAATAATTATTACGAATAATTAGAAATGTGTATACACTATAACGATAACGACAGTTGTAATTTTTGTAGAGAGTTATAAGAGCAAACTTTCGAGATGTCGAAAGTAGTTAATGTAATGTAATAATTGCATGCTTTATTGACGTCTTCGATCGTTCCGACATTCAACCTCTCCCGATTTATACGGAATGATGGAAAAAGTTTGACTTTAACCCACCCGATCCCCTCCCCCTCCGCTGAAAGATCTATTAAAAGTCAGTCAATCGTGGAATAGGGTCGAAGGGTCACCGGAAGTCCGGCATACGAGATACCACAAGGAGTCGACCAAGTTGGTCGATTAGTTTTCGTCGAGTAGAAAGCTCGGACTTTCGTGGGCGCCCTTTCGTCCTTAATTGGTCGGCGCGCTTGAATACGAGTTATTGCGATCGTATAAGTTGTCGCGATACATTCCCACCACGAATTACGAGAGAATGCTCGTGGAAGTCGCTAAACTTTCGAGATGATTCGAAAGATTTACTGGCTTCCATTAACTTTTACTCGAGTCCGACTGAGAATTTTCGTAGTTTTCTAATTGAAGTTTCCGCGAGAAAGTAAACAGACAACTAGGAACGTTAAAGTTAACCAACGTCAATAAAATATCGATTGTTATGCAACAACAAAATATCGTTTCATGTCGTAAATTGTTAGTTTGATTATTCAATTTATTAGCAGTAGCATGCTCTGCGCTCAGAGACTGTCAAGAAACGAAGTTAATAATTTTACGGTCGCAATTTTCATGCGATTTTCATGCGATTCAGTTCTGTGATTGCTCCAAATTCTTCGTTTCTATTTATAATGATTAGATTCGATTTGATGGACGTTCCTGTGCACGAATTCCGCCCGAAACGTATCGTGGCCGATGTAATCTATAAAAAGAAAGAAGGCGAGGGAGCGCCAAATTTGTAAAACTCTGGAGAGTTTCTTGATTAGTTTCGTCGGATAGAGAAGTGTCGGATCACGAACATCGTTTCGCTCTTAACTTAGCCATTAAACGAGATATTATTACCTCTCGCCGTATCGATTTTGTATTTCTACGTTGTCGAACAAGGGTACTAGTTCGCGAGTATTTTTGCAATCGCCAATTTCTCACGGTCTTTCAATGCACGAGCAAAATAAAATCTATTTTTATAATTACTCTCGTCTTATCTTTATGCTCTTCTCTCTTTCGTACGTTTTTTCGCTGGATTCACTTCGCAGGATATACAATCGGAAAGTATCGCAATCGAAAATGAAAGCAGACGTGCAATTTGCAGTAATCTCAGAGCGATTGTACATCGTAATCCACGCTCGTCGACACGAAACGAATGCGACTTTCAAAAAGCGACGAAGATTCAAACTACATTCCTCGTGAGGTAGCTTCAACTTAAAAAAAAAAAAAAAAAAAAAAAAAAAAAAAAAAAAATCGATACGCATCAAATCCAACTACCAATACGTTTTCAGGACACGCTTTGTCACATCCTACGCAAAGACCGTATGCGAACATATTTACCAACATCCTCCAAAGGGTCTCCACTCTACCAAGCTGAGTCGTCACGTCGGTCTTAGCTGAACGCGTGATTTCTCGATGATCGCTCGGTCATTCGACAATGAATACGAATGATGACCGTGCACACGCACCTGCCATGAATAACTAAATACACACGATCCTCTTTCTATACTCTGTCGCCGCCGAATAAAAATTCCTCGTGGATTACATACGTGCGCGTGACAATAGCACAGTCATAAAAATGACAATACGCATTAATTGTTCGCATTAACTGTACTATATTAATTATATATCGAGGAACTTCTTTTTTTTTTTTGTGAATTGAGCGAGGATCTTTTCTTACGGTTCGACAATGGCAGAAATGCTGAGAGGACGTATGTAATTCGCGTACGTGACGTGAGCACATCTATATAGAGAATGGAATTCCGTTCCGTCTGCGAGATCGACGGCGATTTCCCGCGGAAGGGACCTACGTTCAGGGAGAGAGATCACGCTGAATAGATATACCACCGAAGCACACGCACGACTGTAAATATATATACAAACGAGAGCTCTCGGCGCGCAGTCGCCATAAATCAACCCTGAGATCAAAAAACGCGAGGAAAGTCGCGCTGTTTAAAACACTGTCACTACTTTTGTCACTACTCACCACTACTACTGACCACCGTCACTACCACCATCACTTAACTATCACTTACCGACCCTCTTTCCCCGACCCAGAAAGGCCTCCGACATATAGCACTGAGCCTCGTGTCCGGGGACGTAATAAGGGCCGACGACGGCCAGCCCCGAAGGAGGTTAAACCCAGAAACGACGTGTCGACAATGGTCCGACCGAATTAAAACGCATTGTGCATCTAGCCCAGCGCATGTAAGGAAAAAAAAAAAAACAACGACTGCAACATTACCCATGGCGTACCACGCTGTGGTCACGTTATCGGTATGCCTATGAATCTATTTGCTTGCAATCCAATTTTAAGATCTACGATTTATTCCGGTATACCGGAATTTAGTATTTACCCCTCAATCTTCTCTCGAGCAACTTTTGTACGTATGAGCAATAGACATTATCTAATGTAGTTCGGCAACGGCATGTGTCGGCATGGTTATTTAATTTTAGTCTATCCCCCAGAGCAGGATAATAAAAATAAGTAAGT